AGTTGTCCACTCTAGTGATGTCAGTGGTATAGGGAATCTCAATTTTAAATAAATTTGAATAAAGTGTTGTAACTTTGTAAGACACCTGATACATATAATACAATCATTTGGATTTGAAGGTGGGCCAGTGTGCAATGGAAAAAATGGTTTCGAGAAATCATATCTTGTCAGATCAATATACATTCTTTCATACACACTTGCTATAAGATGGCCCATTTCAGGGAAGTGAATCTATTTATCCTCCGGTGTCATTCAATTAATTCAAGGAACAAGAGATTCATAAATTTCATCATAATTTTGTTTTTTTCCTGTATAGCAGTGTATATGATTCTTCATGGACCTTTAACTTTTTGATCATTTGTTGGCATACATGTGTATGATCCTTTTCTCATTTACCGAGCAAAGTAGAAACAACTTGAAAACCGCAGTTACCGTCACTCTCAACGTTTATGATTCATTCAATGTTTTGTGCATAAAAAGCGATATAGCATCGATGAACTGGAGTTTTAGTAGAGGCGGTGGAGGAGGTGGTTTGCTAATGCGAGCTCATTTGAAAACACTTTTTTGATATTTTGAAGTTGGAGAATCTGGAAATTCTTTGTCAACATATTCAAAATAGGATGGAAAACACATTTTTGAGTTGTCACTTTGTGTTGTTTGACCTTATTAGGAGCACCTTTTGTTCTTACTAGTTGAGACAGTGGTTTCAAATCATTGGTTTCTGGATAAGCAATTTTTCTCAATTGCTCTTTTATGTGGACTTTCATATTGTCATCGACTTTCAAAAATCTCTCTTGTATCACTTTCCATTTGTATCGGGCTATCAAGTTTCACCATTTTCGAAATTAGACATGCACAAGGGAGCCCATACATTTTCCTAAGTGTACAATCACACTTTGTTCTATTGAAACCTACATTCTCGACTCGTTTGGCTCTGTGAAAAATAAAGTTTAATCTGTCTTGAGATATGTTATCGAGCAACTGAGAATAGAGTTTGTTGTCTTCGAATCTGTGTTCTAGCACTGTGATGCTGCGACGAAATGATGTATGTATCTCATTATGTTAATTTTAGATCATCTTATTCACAGGGTCCTAATCTATACACAAATCATTTGATGATACGAATATTGTACACTTGCTTGATATTTGAGATGTTTTCAGGTCTTTTGCGTTTCAAAATTGCAAGTATGTTTTTGGGTTGCACCATATTCAATGTCATGTATATAAAGATTTCCTTCTCTTTCGGCAAAAGGCGACATGCAATTGAATGCCCAACTAACTTGTCACACATAAGAAAATATTCATCCCAGTCAACAGTGATTGTGGATAATTTGCCTGACAATCAATTCAAGGTTGACCCTCCTAAACAATTACTCTGTCAGCAAGATAAGTTGCCATGATGAAATCATGCTCAACCAAACAAGTTATTTTCTTTGCATGAAGAATAAACCTTTTAATGACTTTCGCAGAAACAATATGTTGTTTAGAATTAAGATATGCACTTCGATCATCTATCAGATAAATGTTGCAGACTATTGTGGCAAGAGGATGACATTTTATCAGAAAATTATAAATGCTATTTAGTTTAAAATGAATAGGATTGTACATCTCAAGTAGGAAAACAAACACACAACAAAGCCAAGAGATATAGTTTCAAATTTTTTGCCACAACATCAACACAGATAGGAGCCTATGGCTACTATAATAAAACAGACATGGATCGTGAATTCAATTAATATTTACTTTGAAAAATGTATACATTTAAAATATAAAAAAAGAATGGTCTCAACAAATTCAAAAACTTGACATAGCATTTAAATTATTTTCGTGGTGTGGAAAGAAATCCAACTGAGATCACCAACATTAAGGGTGATAAAATAGGTCGAGGCATGCGGACCGACCCATCAGGTGTGTGGGGAAGGATGTGGCGGGTGCGCGGGTAGGCGGGCTGCGGCGGATAGGCAGGCCGAAAATCCCAACCCAACCCGCCATATTTTGGAGGGTTTGTGGGTTGGTCTAGCGGATCACGATTCATTTTTCCACCCCTATATTGAAGCATATGCTCATGAAACTCAAACTCTTGTCCATTCGTAAATCGTTTGCCCACATCTACCTCTTTCACAACAACATGTTGACATTCGTAAACACAATAGGGAAAACATATGGGTGCACCATATCTAATGCAAACAATAACATAAAATATTTAAAAATAGAATGAAATAAACACAAACCTATTCCGAAAATGCACTGTTGGAGGAGTTAATCTAGAATCCATAAATGCATCTCTAGATTCAATGTAACTTTTACAACATAAAAACAAGATTAATGTGAGCAATGAAAAATGAAATAAATCATCTTTACCTTGAATTCTAGATTCTTTTGCTCCTTTTGAAGTTATGAAACACAAGAATAAAGTCTTAAAATGAAAATCTTAATTAAGAATGGAAGAGATTTTTGCAAGATTTTGAGAAAACTTTGCAATGAAGTTAGATCAATCAAGGTTTTGTTTTATTAAAAACAAGGTTTGACATTTTCGGAAATGCATCTCCGAAATTACCTAACATGCAAAGGTGTCAGATTTTCAAACTCTTGCTTCACAACTCCAGAAATGCATCTTCAAAAAAGTCACTGAATTGTTAATTTAAGAATAAATTATTGGAATGTGTTCGAAGATACATCTCCAGATTAAACTTTGAAAAAATCTAAAATTAAACTCGATTGAGTTATGTCTCAGTGAAACTTAAAATACGTCCGAAGATATATTTTCAAAATTTAAAATACATTTTCAAATTTTTATAAAGTATTTTTTCATCATATAAAGTAGCTTTTATTTTTTTTAGTATTTTAGGATCACAAATGTTAAATTCATGTATACCCAAATGCTCTTTTTATCATTGATTTAATGATTTGTAATTTAATAGCCTAGATTTATGAAGAGCAATCTAATGGTAAATTACTATTTTAAAAAATAATATTGCATTTAATTATGAGAAAAAAGGATATGCACGGTTACGTTATATTGTCAATAAATCACAATCATCTTAAATGATAAGTTATACTGTTATTTTTAAATAAATTATATGGCATTGTTAAATGATACTAAACTTTTATTAAATAACAGTGTAAAATTATTTTATACTATTAGTGCTACCTTTTAACTCTTTAATTATTTATTTTTTAGTGCTACCTTTTAACTCTTTAATTATTTATAATAAAAAATATTACAATAAATTTAAAATAACCGATTAATATTTTGTTTTTTGTAAGTGTTAAACTTTGTTTTTTGCACATGTAAATAATTTCTTTACTTATGATGTAAATAATTTAATAATTAAAACAATTTTTACTTTTACAAAGACTCATTAGTTGTCCTTCGTAAATCTCAACCATTAAATTTTAAACTATTAAATCAATAATAAAATGAACATTTATCTATTGGTGGTGGTTGTTAGGGGTGTTCAAAACTAAATTGATTCGATAAAAAATTATAAAATCGAAATTGCAAAAAACTATATTTATTTAGGATGTGTTTGAATCTTTTTTAACAGATTCGTGCGGTTTGATTCGATTTGTAATTTATATTTTGCAAATCGAACTGAACTAAATCAAACCGCATTTACAAAATCTTATTAACCAATAAATATATATATATATATATATATATATATATATATATATATATATATATATATATATATATATATATATATATATATATATATATATATATATATATATATATATATATATATATATATATATATATATATAAAATTCTTTAGATATTTATTTTAATTTACATATCATCAAACAATAAAATATTATTCATTTATAAATACTATTTTCACAAAATATATTTTATGGTATTCTTTTTATGATATTTATTTAAGAATGTAATTTTATATATATCATTATTTAGATATAAGATAAAATTATAAGACACAATTTTATCTATTAAATTATAAACTTATTTTGACATTATAAGTTTTTTTTTATGGTAATGTATAAACGATTAAACACAAAATAGTATTTTCTTCTATATGTGTATATATGGATTAATAATTTTTTTTTTTTGTAAAAAGTCAAACCAACCAAAATCGTATTAGTTTGATTTGATTTAGTTCAATTTTATTTTTAAAAGTCAACTGAATCAAATCGAACCGTAAATTTTTTTCTCTTGCGATTCGAATAACTTTTAACTTCAAAACCGACTAAATTACACCGCGAAGACCCCTCCCTAGTGGTTGTAACAAAAAATAAAGTCGTTAAAAACCATTCGATTAAACAATTCGTTGATGCTATTGTTCTCCCACCCACCACTACCATTGTCGTCCTGGTGTCCCCTTTTTCTATCTCAACACTTGATGGCTCCTTTGCCCCACTATTCCATTATTGTGCAACTTTGTTCCTACCTCTCTAAACAAAGGATCAGAATAAAAATCTATATGATTTTCCACCACGCCCATATTCTATCACATGTAATGCTCAACCAAATGATAATATTTTTTAAGACCACGTCACATAAAAAACAACAGTGAGCCACATATAACAGTATCATTTGAGATCATATCAAATGTTCTCTATAATGTTTTGTTCTACATCATGTTAATCAATTGCTTTTGTAACATTCTTATCAATCAATGACTCATGTTAGTAACATTCTTATTACATATCTTATGATTCTTCAAATTAACATTAAGATGTCTTCAATTTATAATACCTTTATTAAAAAAGTGATCCCAAGACAAAATTGAAGCAATTTATGCAAAGACAAAACAAGCTCATTGGAGGCATTGTCATGTCAATTTCATGTTCAATAAGCCTGATGTTAAACCAAGTGTCATATAAATTTCATTTTCCTTCTTTTTTTCCTTCTCATTCGAAAAACCAGAAAAAGTGAAGGAGAAACCGTGAAAAAAAGAAACCAGGGAGAAGTAATAAAGTATTATTATTACAGTTGGGCTGTACAAATTGTTTATAGAGTTAACAATGTATCTTCTTTACTCCTCAGTCCCTACCTTTATCTCCAAAAGCCTCTCAATCGGTTGTCTGCAAATCGGGCATCTATTTGTTTGGAACCTCAAAACTGTTGCACATCCGCTACACATGCACTGCAAAAAAGAGTAGAAATCCATTCAAAGAATGTCAAGAACCAAATAAGCAATTGTTAAATTTGACGATGATCATGAGTTTGCTTAGAACCTAAGATTGAACAGATTTTCAAGAATAATATTGATATTGATGACTACCATTAGTATATCATTCAATGAGCTAAACAAATTGATCAAAAAAACTAATCAAAGAAAAAACACATTAAAAAAGGGATGCTGCATATACCATATGTCGGCAGGGATGAACAATTGTGTCACGAGGCTCTGACAAGCAGATCACACACTCTTTGCCTTGGTCGTTGTCATCCACGCCACTCTCTACTGAATTTCCAATACCATATATCTCCTGCAACTCATACCGCATTCCATTCACCGACAAAATCTGCTTTACAACTTTTACCCGGAACTCTCCTTTTTCCTTTTCGAACACCGCTTGAGTTATCTGAGAGTTCGGGTTACCAGATGCCACAGTCTCATTTGATTCATCGTGATTATTAGAGGATGCCTCTGCCTTCACTGCTAAAGGGTAGACATCCATGTCACCCACCTTCAATAAATCTGACTCCTCGAACGTTGAAAAGTTAATACCAGTTCCAGCTTGCTGTCTAAACTTCTGTCCAAGACCTTGCTGGAATTGTATAGTCACAGGTGCAAGATGGTTTTCCTTGGTCGGTGTGAGGATGCAGCCTTCATTTTCTTTTGCAAAGAAAAATATGGTGATGCTGTCAAAAAGATACAAGGAAATAAAGCCTTCAGAACAACTAAATGAAGAACTAAAGTAAGAATGTCCACATCTATCATTATCATTTGATGACAATCACACAGACATGTCAATTAACATTCAGAGAATCAGAAGCACTACAATATCAAACAAGTGACTAAACTGACATGCATTTAGTTTCTTTCAGCTTACGTAATGCTCCTTAGTATAGAAAAGCAAAGAGCGATAAATAATCAAATGCCAGAAGAAATCTTCCACATTTTGATGTAATTGGTCTTTTTTTACAAAGTCAACTCCCTTGTCTCATAAATTGATGATCTCTTAAAAATGTAGTGGCTTTTTAAAAATAAGCAATTACATGGAGTGTGTTGCAGAATGTGTAACAAGAGTGTTGTTAACATTCCTCTCACTGATAATATTTTGCTGACATTTCCACAAGTGTAAAACATAAAAGTTAGTTACTAATGCAATGATGGCAAAAAGCATAAGTGAAATCTAAGTTAATTGAATCAACAATTTGGATACTTAATAGAGAAAAAGTAGGTATTGCTTCTACATATGCCTTAAAAGATAGTTGTCATACTCAAGAATTCACGTAAACACGTGAAATCTCCATACTCGACTCATAAACTTGTTATAGTTGCATAATACAAAACTAATGCTAAAACATCTAGCTAGTATCTATACAGGATTTACTATGAGCAGAGAGCATATTCAGCATTCTAACTTATTGATAAAGAAAACCACAGTAACAAAATTAAATATTCTGTAAGCAACCAATAAACACTAAACTAAGAGAGGCTCAAAGGTAAGGCTGGGCCAGGCAGACAAACCTGACTAGACTAGAATACACAAACATTGCATCACAATTCAAAATCGATGGACAAATTCACAAATCATAGGATACTAAACACACAAAAAGAGAAGCTCAAAATTGATGGACAAAATAACAAACCACGAGGTTCAAATTTACTAAAGAGTGGAAATGGTGGGATTGATACCCCTTGTTGGAGTTAGATTCAACTCGGTAGATCTACATCTTCAACTCGTCAGAATACGGCTCTCATTCTCATAGGCATGTTGGTTCATTGCATATTGCAATAATGGGTTTGTTCATATTTTTTGGTTTATGATTTTATTTAAGCTAGGAACTATCAGGTCAAAATGGTTATCAGTATCTATGTAGTCAGTAGCAGACAGCATCGCGAAGCAGCCAATCCCCAAAAAGATATAGCAGTGTGTAGCAGGGTATGGCTGCTACATTAGGGAAACAATACAAGCACTACAAATATGAAGACTATAACATCCAAGTTAAACGCACATTTAATAACTAATGATCAAAGTTTATTGTACTAAACACTAATATTTCAAACATAATATAAATCAAACAGAAAAATAGGACATGATATTCAAACATAATATAAAGCAAAGAAAAGGAAATCACTGAGAAGAAAGGCTTTTGGAGAAGAAAAACAGAGGTTGTGCAATGTCGAAGAAGAAAGAAAGGTGATGAGGTTTTTTTTATTTTATATTATAACAAACCATTACGCATTTAAAAAGAGACAAGTATAAAAAATAAAAGTATTAAAAATAACCCTAAACAGTTAAAAACTGGGTATTTTATGAGACGATTGAGCTTCGTCTTCTATGTGATTATGCTGCAACCCTAATCCACACCACAACACTGTTCTGCGTAGCGCTCCGCAGCCACGGTAGACTATAGAGATCGGTATCTTAATATACATGTGAGTTGTATCTTGATTCAATACAAAACTCATCTAAATCCATACAAATCCCTAGTGTGTATCTATTTTGGACACAAATCTCATCTTCAATTCTAGTTCATACTGATAAATCCCGGTTTACCATGATACATCCTAATTTATTCTAATGAATCACTACCTTAACTTAGTGTAACCGGCCATTTTCTCTGCCAACTTTGTATAGTCAGCCACTTTTCTTTTGTCGTTTGATTTATGACTTGAGTCTTCAATTAATTCATGTCGTATATGATATATCGCCTTAAAAATTTGCTGTCACATATTTTTACTTTAAAATGTCATCTTTTTTAACCGGTAATGAATCTTATGACAATTCCTTATAAAAATTAAAAATTTGATTCACAATTTGAATTTCAATTTGACAACTATAAACCACGAGTTGAGAATCAATACAACATCATTAATCTCCTCTGCATATAGGTTCATGCTAGGATGTAAGATGCATATGTGGAGTCAAGTCCTACAGTGGTGAGGAATGTGTTATGCCCTACAGTGTTGTTAAATGTTGGGCTTTTTAGAACATACTTTACTTACATTTTAGGCATGTATGGAGAAAATAACCATTAAACCATTATCATTCAAGCAGGGTTGTAAAATTCGAGAGTCAACAATACATAAATCCATGCAGAGTCTGTACACATAGACTCAACTCAATATAAAATATAGTGATATTATATAGTAACGAAATGCATGAACGCTTCGCATACTTGTCAATATATAGACGCATTCCCACATTTGACATTTGACATTCTCAGAGTTTGGGTTAGGCCTAACTCATCCCTACAAAACCGGCTTTGAAACCGGCTTGTAGGGTGAAGATTGTCCCCAATTATAAACACAACACATGCCATATCTCTAAGCAATGTGGGACTAAACTCACCCCTTCAAAGCTAACACAATGAAGGTGTTAGGGGCTGCAATGAAGACAAGCCAAAGTGTTGCAATTAAGGCAACTAAGGACGGACCGCAATTAAGGCAGAAAGTCCAACACACCCCCTAGCTTGGGCCTCAATGAGCCCGAAGAGTGGACGATGCGGGAAGCCCAACAATGGATCTAGGATAGGCTCTGATACCATCTCAGAGTTTGGGGGTTGGGCTTAACTCATCCCTACAAAACCGGCTTTGAAACCGGCTTGTAGGGTGATGATTGCCCCCACTTATAAGCCATATCTCTAAGCAATGTGGGACTAAATTCACCCCTTCAAAGCTAACACAATGAAGGTGTTAGGGGCTGCAATGAGGGCAAGCCAAAGTGTCGCAATTAAGGCAACTAAGAGCGGACCGCAATTAAGGCAGAAAGTCCAACAAACATCATAATTTTCTATCATTTATCATATCTCTATCCAAATCATTTTGATTAGTCCCCATCTAATCTACTCTCCTCATTACAAAATCTACAATTTCTCTCTCTACATGCCTAACCCATTTGAGCCGAGTTTCCACCATCTTTTCTATGATAGATGTTATCCAACGCTTTCTCTAACATTATCATTCATAATCCTATCATGTCTAGTCTTGTCACACATCCAACCAAACATCTTCATCTATGCTACACTAATTTTATTCTCGTGTTGGTTTTTTACTGCCCAACACTCCGTCCTATACAAAATTGTCAGGTTTAAATCGTAAGATAAAATTTTCTCGTTAGCTTGAGCGGTAAAATACCTAATATCATCCTCCATTTCAACCATTCCGCTTAAATTTGATAGATCACACCATTTTGTACTGCAGGCCCAAGATATTTAAATATTTGTATATAATTCAGCCAACCAAAACTTGTGGATGATTTTCATGATGTAACTTCTCATAACATCAAATCATAATTTCAATTTGAATGACAAAAAATATTGTTGGAAAATCCTTCTTAATCGTGGCAACCCTGCAGCCTGTTATTGGGCCACTTCATCTGCCTTAACGTATAGGTAGATTATTCATATAACTAGTCCAAAAAATTATCCTGCTATCCGCTATCCCATTTTTAAGGTCGGCCACTCTGCTATGCTATCTGGGATCAATAACTCTGATTTGTAGTGCTTACAAAATTATGACTTAGGGGCTGTTTGCTTCCGTGTCTAGTAGCTCACTCACCATGCCTTAAACATAAACATACAAAGTGTAGTTTCATTCTCGACTCAAGTCAAATGGCGACTCAACATAATTCCAAGAACTTACTTAGATAGTCCTCATGTTGCAAACTGATTTTGTAGCATTGAGTGGGCCCTAACCCTAAATTCTATTCTAAGAGATAGGAGTATTAAGGGTAGAAACGAAGTTAATTCAAAATCAAAGATTATGCTAGTTATGGTAAACCACCCCCCATACTTCCAACGTCATAAAACCCACAAAAGACAGTAAACTCTTACTTTGACAACACAAAATTCTTTAACTAACATTTGACCGAACATAACAGATTATTCTGTCCTTTTTCAGTTCCACGAATTTAATCACACCAAAACATCTATCACTTTATCAAAAACTCAAAAACACAATGCTTAATACGAAACACTAAAAACACATCAACAATGCATTCATGAAATGGAATAAGAAGAAAACTAACCTCCCAGAAATGGTGGCATCAAAGGTAAACGAAACAAGGAAGAAACCATTGTTTTCCTCATCCGGCGAAATCGCAAGAGTCTCCTTCTTAATATTAACATCATTCCTTATAGTAACAGCTTTCTGGTGCTCAACAAACGGTGTAGGCTGATTCATGACCGGTCCGCAAGGGTAATATCGGGGGTCCATATGCGGATGAGGATGTTGCTGATGATGATGAGGCATAGGTACCGGCGGCGGTGGATAATAACCAGGATAATGATACTGAGGATAATGCATGGGAGGGTTCGGGTTCGGGTTCAGGTGCGGTGGTGCACCGGGGTAGATAAATTGATGTGAAGCGATTTCGGGTTGAGGTGTTACCGGAGGAGGTGGTGGTGGGTGAGTTCTTCTAGAAGCGGCGCCGTGTCGACGACGGTTGTTGGCGGCGTGGCTAGAGATGTTTCCCATGGTGGAGAAGGAATGAAAAGCCCTAATTCAGAATTGATTCTCCATTTGCATAGGTTATGGTTTTGGAGAATTCAAAAGCTGAAAAAGGAATGAAAATGAAAATGAAATTGTGAAAGTGAAAGGATTAAAAAGAGAGAATAATATAGAAAGGAAGAAAGGAATGATGGTGGTGGGTATAATGGGGGTTGCGTATATCTCCACTCAGGAGAAACGCCATTGATGAATTCAATATTGAACGCTTTTTCTTTATTTTAATTAATTATATTAATTAATTAATTTTTTTAAAATGTTGGTGAGTGTTTTACAGTTATGATTATCATTTATCCAATAAAGCACACTCATTTACCCGCATGTTTTATCTCCTTGAAATAGGAGAGCCTCAACACTCTCTTTTTAATATTTTTTAAACACTCATTTATTTTTTTATAGATTGAAATATGTGTGGCTCCCTCACTTTAAAAAGAAAATAGATCCCACATTAAGTGTAATGATCTATATATATTTCAATCAATAAGAGAGTGAATGTTTGAGAGAGAGTTCAAAAGAGAATGTTATTAATATTTCTCATTTTTTTTATTCAGCAAGACTTTAAGAGCTCGTGCCTACATATCTTCAATGTACAATAAAGAAATTACAATCACGTAGTTTTTCTAAAAAAAGAATAAAGTTGTTTGTTGATTGATTTTAAATGAAGAGACATTTTGTCATCTTAGAGAGAATATTCAACCAGTCATCCATAAACATGATAAGGATTGTGTTGTACCCCAAAATTTACCCTTCCATTCTCTTCAAGACATTCTCCTAGGATTCTCAAATGCTCAAGGTGACTCAAGAATTGATCAAAAATTCTCATCCTAAGCAATGAACTCACAACTAGGATTTTATATTTCTCAAGGAAGATCGGGTTTCTAAAGTCTCAAGTGGTTTTCATGGTTTTTCATATGTCCCTAAGAATGCTCATGTCAAATTTCAAGTCTTGCATCACAAGTTTGCTCAGCCAATTGCTCAGATGACTGAAAATCAACTGTATTGAGTAAAAAGTAATTTGTGGTCAACATACAGTCAAACTTCATGATTTTTTGGTCAATATTAACATTTTGAAGTGATATTCATCGTTTGATCAAGGGTTGAGCATGATTCCTCAAGAAAAACCCTCAAATCATCAAGAGTCAAAAGTTGCTAAATTAGGGTTTCCTTAGGAGAAGTCAGCTGAACTTTGACCAAGCATAACTTTCACATGCTTCATCAGCTTTTCCCCAACCAAAGCTCATTTTAAAGGTAATTCAATTCTCTACAACTTTTTCTCTCTAAGCTCAAGTCCAAAAAGTGCATCATTTGAGAGATTTAAGCCAATACGTTACATGTCATTCCAAAAGTCAACAAAAAGACACTTTTTGTCAAGGCAACTTACATCAAGATAAAGTTTTCAAAAGCAAAAATGATCAACATAAAGATTGTATAGGATAGCTTGATCTTTCCAAAAAATCCAATATCACCTCTAAAAGATGAAAATTGAGAGAGTTATGACTAATGCAAGTTGGGAAATTTTGAGCAAATGCATAAAGTTCAAATTGAGCAAACTTGATACTTTGGGTTATTGGGTCATTGTTTAAGAGTCCAAACGTGTTTTAAAGCTTATCATGCACCCCGCATCTTACTCATGCATCCCCTGACCTCTTTAGTTTATTTATTTTTTTATTTTTTTATTAATTAAAGTCAAAATTAAATAAAATAAAATAAAGGCTTCTACAAAGTCCAAGCCCATATTTTCTTTGCCCTAATTCCCGTTATATATTCTCATCCATTCTCTTCATACAAGCCACGAAAACCTTGCCTCTCAAATACTTGTTAAAACATCAAATTTTTCAAGAACCCTAAAAATATTGAAACCCTTGTTACAAACCCTTTCACCATAAACTAGCCATCCTAATCAACTTCATTCATTCCCAGGGTAAGATTGGATCAAATTTGATGGTCCAAAACACATGAAATATCATCGCATGGCATCATGATTCCATCCTTACTTGAATTTCATGTTTTTTTCTCGTTTTTATTGCATTCTAACAGCTACTGATGCTTTTTTATGTGTTTATGAGTTTCAACTATGCATAATGACCCGTCGTGGAGGTGTCATGCAATCAAAATCATAAAACACCATGTTTGCACTGATCTAGATCGTTTTTACCATAGCTCATAAACCCTTGAGTTTCAGACCAAAATAATCCTTCCATTGGACTTGCAGCCCTCGATTTAGGGGGTATAGTGCTTTTGATGTGCTAACGTCCTTGGTTTTGCAGGTTTTGGAAGAGACAAGCTACCTGAGAAGACGACCGGAGCTAAGGCTTCGACGCCTCTCCGGTCAATACATTCATATTTATAATATATATTTATAGTTTGATAGGAAGTAATGGATGTACAGCCGTCCCAGCGGTAGAAGCGCGCATGATAAGTCATTTGTGTCAAAGGGCCTGGGTTCGATCCAGCCTTTTGCCACTTTGTTTTTTCTAATGTTTTCATATTTTTGCAGGATTAAACAAAATACGCTGAACCTGTTATTCAGTACCAAGGCGCGCTTGACCTGGTGGTGATTGTGTTGCTGGAATGTCTTGTAACCCACCCCTACCACTCTTGGTTTTTTCTTACAATTATTTATCTTTTTCATAAAACCTAACATTTTTCACAAACCTTTGATTTTTCTTAACAAACCCTAATTTAGTTCTAGGTTTTTTAAATTAAAATCAACCCTAATTTAACTTTTTAGGTTTTCTTAATTAAATTAAAATTAACTTAGATTTTAGGGTTTTGTTTAATTTAGTTAACTAACTTTTTTAATTAAAATCAAATAGATTTTAGATTAATCGTCAAACTTTTTTTCATCAAAACGATCACAAAACAATTTTTCTCTTTTCTCTTTCTTTTTACCGCTTCGCATACTTTATTACTTTCGTGTTCTTTTCCCAATTATGTAACTACTTATGGTTGTAATAGTTTAACTAGGGTTTACTATTTCCCCCCGTTATTACTATTTTATACCCAACTCCCGAACCCTTATAATAACGTAGAACTTTATTTTCCGCACTTTACTGCTTTTCATTACTGCTTTTTAATCTTGTATGACAAGATTAAAAATAATCGTAGAAAACACTAATTAAAGACTAAAATAACTGAACATGAATCACTTTTCACACACGCACCTCTAGGGTAACCTCACTTGTTGCTTTCAGAAACACAACCATGTCCCTCGAACATGGGGACGCTTCAGCAAAGAGCCTCGGTTAAAAAGATCGTATTCCCCCGATGACCCTTCAATGCTGCCTTGGGTAGACGATCTTAGTCCCTCACGATAAATTGCTAAAGCACCCCTACGAATTGCCTTTATGATTGTATGATGACCTGCGCCTGTCCCTTCACATCTAAAGATATGGCTTACTAGTAACTAATGATAGGATAATACTATCTAAAGGACGAGGAAAATAACACGAAAGACTTTGAGTAGGTAGATAGTTCTTAATCGCTTGCTCGCGAACATTTTGAAACATCTTTTTTACAAACACTTTTTCTGAAATATTTTCAAAAAAAAAGCAAACACTTTGTACGCATTCTTAACTGATACAAGAATCATTACAAAGTTGTCGTACTTAGGCATTTTTTCAAAAATATTTTCAAAACACATTCACAAAGTATTTTCAAAACAAAAGTGAGCTAGCGATTAAGAGACCGTAGATAACTACAGATGAAAAGGGTGCTAACACCTTCCCTTTTTGTAACCTACCCCCCGAACTCAATAAAATCTCGAAGGTCTTTCCTGTTCTTTTCACTCTTTCCTTATTGGATAAAAGAAAAGTCGATGGCGACTCTTGTTATCCGCAACATGCGATAAAATGCAAAACCAAGTCAGTTCTCCCACTGTATTACAGAAATGGCGACTTTGCTGAGGAGAACTAAAAGTGAGGTCACCTTTAGAGTTAGATCATTTTTAAATGCTTTCCTTGTTTGTCTTATGTGCTTTACATTTTTGGGCTTGCTCGGGTTTATTTTCTTGCAAAGATCCTACACCTAGATTTGGGGGCATTTTAGGTAAGTAGCAATAGATCATGGAAACTATACGGCGTATACCGATATGGTTGAAGTGATGGCTACATTAGTGCGACACATTGGTTTGTATTAGTGTCCTTCGAGTCAATCAGGGAGAATAATAGGTTGTCGCGTGGTGTCATAAGCACTAACTAACCTTTAGAACCTTAATTGACCCAACTTAGCCATTAGAAGATAGTGAGATAGCCGGATTTGGTGCAGTCCAAAGTTGGTTGATACTCGATGCTACGCTCATTGAAATTGGACTCCCGGGTTTTGTTTGGTGGCAAGTCAGTTACCGTGCTAGACAAAACTTTTGGGAAAAATAAGTGATATTGAGATCCCTAGAACCCGATTACTTTTTTAGGATAGGTTGAGCCAACTAAACTTCAAGAGGGTACTTACCTACAAACCATATGCAAGCCTTAAGCCTAAGGTCTTTGCGTGCTTTGCTTGTATTTGATTATCTATTTGAACCTGACATTATAAGATCATAACATCATATCATGACTAACCATTTCAAGGATCTAGGGGATTTATCTCTGTTCTGTGTTGCATGGTCATGACTTCTAGTCGTAGGAATACTATCCAGATCAACTTCGTAAGGATACCTTCTAAGCTTGTGGAATTAGTCTCAAAGGTTCCCAACAATTCTTAATTCTCCAAGAGACATGGTCATCTATTCAGTTTGGTTACTACTGGCTTCCAGGAAGACATGATGAGCGTTCTTTTCCATTTCTTTGATTTGAAGCATCACTGTTTTACCTTCCCAGATTATCAATTGGTGCCTACAATGGAAGAATTCTCTAAGTTGCTCGAAGTACCTAATCTTGATCAGATACCCTTCACTAGTTTAGAGCAAGTTCGGAAACCTGAAGACGTTGTAGTAGTCTTACATATGAGAATGATCGAAATTATATATAATT